TCCGAAGGGGGTAGGGGGGTTAACTTCCTATTTCCTCTGTGGGGGTGGTATGGATGTTTTCTGGAATGACCCAATAATATAAGCTATTGAAAAAAAATGCTGCGAAAGAGAGTGGAAAAAAAACATACATGGTGATGGGATAGAAAACAACTTGCACATAACGATCCCAGAAAAAAATTCCCTGCCAGCAGTAAATCACCCCCCCCCCGCCCCTCTCAAAAGTTAAATGGTCAGCCCCTTAATTCATTCGTTTCTTAATAGTTTTGTCTTTTTACTGTAAAATGAAAAAAGTAGAAACTGTAAAATGACTAAAGTAAAAGTACTGTTACTGCAAAATGACTAAAGTAAAAGTTTGTAAGCAGTACTGTAGTGTATTTTAATGCAATTGTAATGTGTGTCAAGGCAGCAGTCAGTCTCATAAAATATACGTATTATACTGTTTATTAATTGATCTGTATTATTGAGGGCAGAACATATAACAATGTCATAATTTCTTGAAACCTAAAAGCCTGATTTACTCCATGAAGAAAAGACAAAGCTAAAATGATCTCAGCAGGTTGCAGTATTTATTCAACAAACAATGTTTTATAACCAATACATTTTTTTGTGATTAGGCTGTTAGATTTCACACAGATCCTATAATACTAGAGACCCTTTACAATTAAATTGTTTTTACATTGACACAATGCAATATAATGCATATATAGACATGCAACTGAAAGTAACTGTTTGCAGCATTGTTCCATCTTCACTTTATACTGTCTCTATAGGATCTAAAAAGCACAGAAATGAGATTCCATTATTTTACAACTTTCAATTTCTTTCAAATTTATTAATTTTAATCTGCTTTGGAATAAAACACCATTGAGGTCTTCTCAGAAGAGTGATAATTAATAATCATGACTATGACTTTAATAAGGAACATATTACACAAGCAGGGATGGTATGGTATATATTCTCACAAGGCATTGCGTTTAAGCACCCACCATTAACATAAATAAGATCACTACAACGCACCTGCTATTTTTTCTACCATCCTGAATCATTTGTTCCTTTAACAAATCCCACAAGCGACATAAATTGTTTGCGTTGATAGAAACAAATATGAGGTGATATGAGTATATTATGATCTTGACATCTTGTCCAATAAAAATTCACCATTTCCAAAACAATAAAGTTCATGACCAATTCCTCATGTGTTAACTTATGGTATAATTCACCGATCTCTATCAGAAATTCCCATTTGAAAGGTGTTGTCACGACTGTATTCATGATTCATCTCAGTCGCACTCAGAAACGTCGTCAAAAATATAGACACGTTTCTTTACGATTGAGTTCATTTGAATGTAAAAGAGGTCCCCAACATTCTTGAAATGTGCTTTTGCTTAAAATACCATATTTGACTTGATTTGTTCCTCTATTGCGAGATAACAGAACAAAACAGTTGAAAATACCGTATTAATCACAATAGCTCACTCCTCAAGGTGGTCACAGTAAGATGGCGGCCGCGCGCGACTTCCGGCTTCAATTTCTGTATTAGGCCGTGGGCTGTTGGCCAAAATTATTTCGCTTCGTGGCACCCATGTGGGAAATACTTGGTTTGGGGTTTATTTGAAAGGCATATTGGTACATCACTACCAAAAAAAGTTCCCAAGCAAAAAAGTTGGTCAATGATTATCCTCTATTAAATTGTATTACAGCAAAAAAATGGGAAATCTGTATTCAATTACAATAAAAATGACTTGCATTACTGGAAAACGTACAAAAAATCGCATATAAGACTTTTAAACAGTTTTTTGATTTTTCAAATAGTCTTTGAGTTATTGCTGTTTTAAATGTGAAAATTGGACCAAAATGCTGCAATAAGGACTGGGTACTAGGTCAAAAACGCGTTTTTGACAGCGTATAACTCGAAAACAATTTTAGATATAAAAAAACTGTTTAAATGTCTTATATGTAGGTTTTTGTAAGCTTTCTGATGATGCAAGTCATTTTTGTTGTAATTGAATACAAAATTTCACATTTTCTTGCTGTAATACAATTTAATAGAGGATAATCACTGATCATCCATTTTCTCGGTGTTGGGCAAGTTTTTTGCTTGGGAACTTTTTGTGGTAATTAAGCATCTAAGGTTCTATGAATTGAACCACAGAAAATCTATTTCCCAGGTGGGTGCCACGAAATTGCTTTTCTAGGCACTTTTTCGCCCAACAGCCCACGGCCTATATCTATAGTTGCGCTCTCCATACATTTATAGCTCAGTGATTTCACTCCTGCTAGTGACATACGAAGTACGAAAATTTCCCGCCATTTTCATTGTTGTTGTTTTGAAAATACAAATGGTCTTTGGTTCGTATTTAAAACGAAAGTAACATTGGAAATAAAACGCAAACATTTAAAAGACATTTGGAAAAAGTAAAATTTATTGCTGCCGTAGGCAGCACACTATTCTTGACAACTGATTTTGACGTTATGACTCGTGTCAGTTTTCTTGACCGAGTTATAACGATGCAGCTTGATTCAAAATATAGAAGAAATTTGGATCACTTCTGATGGCCGGTAATTGCTCGTAAGTCGCCGTAAAGCTCCCGTTCTGTACTTTCCGCCATGATGAAAAATATAAAAAACGATAATTTCTTCACAAATAAAAGACAATAATTTCGTTAGAAAGTTATTTTTTGCAGGTACGTTTTAGCATATTATTAGTATACGGTGTTGACAATGTGTACTTATTATTCAAAAACTCATCAGGAGAAAACACAAAGAAAAATCATAAGCGTGTCGTGGTTTTACATGCGATAAAAAAAATTTCTTTGAGTTTATTTTAAAAATTACTTCGCCAATGAACTCGTATAAGATGAGTCGTTTTTGAAGCCATTTAAAGCACTTGTAGTCGTGTTTTATCACATATAAAACACTCCGCTACGCGTCGACGTGTTTTATATGTGATAAAACACTCCTAGGCGTGCTTTAAATAGTACGTAATAAGTTTATATTGACCGTTTAAATATCATGACAGAATGATGCAGGCATGTTCAATGTTGGCAAATGTTGTTATGATTTACGAAGAAAAACGTGAAAATGATTGAAGACTTGATATTAAGACAACACCGAAATGACGTATAGTATCGTATAGTCTTGTATAACGTCGTATAGTCTTAACAGTTAACATATAGCCTCATTAAACGAACGATCTACAGGTCGAAATGCATAGAAACTGGCCTGCTCATTAGCAGAGACAGCACATCATGAATTATCGTCTGATATTGAACGAATATTATAATCACATACCGTTCCACGTAACAAACGAGCTGATTCTCATTGGTTGGGACAGTTGACAGCACATCATGAATTTGCGACTGGTGTTACACAGCGAAAGGACTTATACTCGCAAGGACAATACAATTATAAGTTGTTCGAAATCCATTGTCAAATATTCAATATTTTAGAAAGGACTCGACACTTGCCCATGTTAAACTCCAAAACAAACGTTCACATTGACAGGCAGGCATTGCTGTAATTCGTTGAAAAATGCGGACCATTAAACTCACAACTCACAAAGTTCGGAAACAAAACTCCCTCAATACGTGGAGTTGGGATGTTCGCTTGCATGGGCACCAGTTATTGCAAGGAATAATAATTTATAGAAACGCTGATGTAACAGATTAGCTGTTAACAATTAATGCATGGTTTACTTCGTTATTTAAGCTGCGATACCTTTCTTTCTCTAACAATTATTGCCGAATATTCCCATTCAGTACACACAAATAAACGGAGAATAAAAGACTAAGTACAACTGATAAAAATTGCGGAGCGGTTGCAGTCTCATATAACTCAGTCGTCCATCGTGACTACGGTTGAAAGACATCAAGGCATTATTAAAGTATACTTGCATTTAATATTTCCATAAAGACAAGGATGAAAAGTGCAATTTGCATCGCTATTCGCTATTCATTCAGAGAATGTCAAAAGTATGTGTATCCTAAAACCAAATAACATATCCCAAAGACTATATAAAACTTCGGTAGTTTTAATTCAATTTATAGCCATTTGGCAATTTGCTAAACAATAATGACAATAACCTATGTTTTGATATATGCATGTTTAATTGTAACCTTGACATATAAAATAAGCTATCCTTATTAACATAACTGAATATTCGTTCGTTTTCGTTCAGTTGTGTATGTTAACTGTTTAGTCTTGTATAGTTAATAGATAATTACTGAGGCCAACGGCATTATTCGATATATTGCAGCCAGTTGAGGCCGAAGGCCGAAGCTGGCTGCAATATATCGAATAATGCCGTTTGGCCGAAGTAATTATCTATTATAATTACTGACCCGAATCAAAAGTAATTATTTTCGGCTGGAAGACTACGTTGCTGCTTGTTGGGACCGTATGACAATGAATCTATCCAACGTTACACTAGACATTTGTGAGGACATGCATGTAATGCATCGTGATAGAACAGATTTCAGTTTAATTAATCGCCCTAAATTAAAATCTCCACAAGCGGAGGTCAATTATAGTGTTCTAGTTTACATATTATCATTAATGATAAGGTTAATTCAAAGAGCGTATTAAACTGGATAAACACGGGAATAGAACTTATGGTGTGTTCTGCACATGCGTATATCTAGGATAAAATCCCACAAGCGCAAACGAAACTATTTCTCTATAAAGTTGAGCTGAAAGGACACAGTGACCGTTTTGGCAGTGCTTCAGGCGCCCGATGATATTGTATGAGGGGCCTTTAGCACTGTCAACTTCTCATCTTGAGATGTTCACGTTATCGCGTGTACTTGTCAGGATGACGAAGGATTGCGAATAATGTCTGTGTGCACTGATACACGCTGCATTATTTTTAATAATGCCGTGTGCACGCTGCATTATTTTTAATAATGCTGTGTGCACGCTGCATTATTTTTAATAATGCTGTGTGCACGCTGCATTATTTTTAATAATGCTGTGTGCTATTTTAGCCAGTATAAACATTTACCCCTGGGAATTTCCCTACAATTAAAAAAGACCGCTCCCGTTTTTTAGAAGAACGCTAAAACTTCTCGACATTCGCTGATATAATGCAGAGAGAAAACAATAGGTTATTATGACCGTCAGTAATTATTCTTGTATAATAGTCGTCTATAGTGTAGTATAGTGTTGTATAGTCTTGCATAGTGTCATATAGTCTTGTATAACGTTGTATAGTGCCGTACAGTGTCGTATAGCCTTATATATTGTTGTATAGTCTTGTATAACGTTGTATGGTGACGTATGGTAAAATTTAAATTTTCTAATTTTTATTTCTTTGAGTTTTGTCCCGTGATCGAGTACAACACCTTGTGTTCAAAGCAATTAGAGCTGTCAAATTACTGCAATATGTTATAGCTAATTTGAATGTGAAAGGGTCAGTTTTTTTTATACACACTGTATTTCTAGTCATGAGTGATTTGGAGCTACAAATAGGATCAACAAGCTAATAAATGGAAAAGTTGGAAAAGTGCACTGGGTGAGTAAACGCATCTAGCATTTGGTATATTTAACAATTAGCCGCCGAAGGCGAGGTGATTACAAGCCTATATTCGCTGAGCCGAAGGCGAAGTGAATATAGGCTTTTATTATATGGCAAGCATTTCCGGTGATTGGCTGAGAAGCACTTTCAGCGGTTGTAAAAACAAACGCATGCATTCTAAAACATCAAAACTAATTGAAAATTTGAAATTATAATTTAATTTGTTATTAATAAGATATTTGCGAATGGTTTTTAGTGGAAATTGGTATTTAATTGAATTACATTGGTATTTTTTGTTTTCTTCGACCAAATGTGTACCACGCTATTAATATGCATTTCAAATTATAACTTTCTTAGTTTCTTGGGTTTTTTTTCAAGTATAAATGCCAATAAATGCCATATAATAAACGTTTATAGTTTTGTTTCCGAAAATCAAGGTTTTAGCCCTGCCGTAAAAAGACAACGTAACTGTTCAAAATACAAGTAATTTTTAAACAGAAACTCCATTGGCTTGACTGTGCATCTTTATGCAAAATACATCGTATTCGTCATTCTTGCGTGTATATTCACCGCATCTGACATCTCCTTAAGCGAAAGAGCATTGCCTCTTCGACCTCTTGTCAGCATTCCTAAATGATAGCGCGCTCGGAATGCTACGTGATGAGCATAGTAGGCAGGGGCAGGTATGGAAACAGCTCTGGCGCACCGCACGTAGGTATGACATAATTGATTAGACAAGGTCTGCAACTGATCAGACGTAAAATTACTATCATCGTATAAAACATGATAATGTGCTGGCTTACTAGTTCCTTGTATACCAGCATGACTGCACAGGTACCAATCGAACTCATAGGGATGGCATACATCTGTATCGACGACCGTTCCAGGAGGGATATTCTTACTCTTTCCGCATTGATCTCTGGTTTCTTCAGCAAAGAACCGGGTGTGATGACGCTTCTGGACAACAATAAAAGTGATGGCTGGTTTAAAGCTCTCGTGCAATTCGTAACACGCAAGTTGGATTGCGCGAAGCTCCTGAAGGAGGACATCTTTGAACTGTCCTTCACCTACACCATCTCGATAGAAGATAATTTTTTCAGGTTGTGCACGAGTTGCTGCCCTAAACTTTTTCAAGAGATTTTTAACAATGTCCTTCAACTCCGTAATAACTTCTTTACGCCGTTCTTGGACGCGCACTTCAGCACTGTAAAGGTTTGTGTTCGAGTCCATACTAGCAACGACAGCAGCAATTGATGGACTATTCACGTCACGTGGTGATGGATGTGTGACATCAGCTCCAAAAATAATCACGGGTCGACCAAGTATTTCCGATCTCTCACGTTTGTCTAGAATGGACGTCGTACCACCGAGTTTTGCGTTAATCTTCAGACAAATATTTGCCATTGTTTGCCTGTCACTAGCTTTCTTGCTGGCTGTATTCGCCTTAATTACCTGGGTTCGAATGCCGTAAAAGACGTCGCCGAAATACTTGACTGCTTCGTAATATGCATCAAGGTTTCCTTTACCAGGTAAAATAACGATGATGAGTTGCAAATTGGGATAACGGCGGGATAAATCTTGAAACAGCCGACCGATTCTTTCCGATCCATGCATAAACTCACGATAGCAAGGGGATGGGTGGATGGAAAAGCCTTTATCTCTTCCTGCTTGAACTAAAGAGCTAACAAATTTATCTAGACCTACACCATTCAAAAAACGTTGATTCTCGAACGAAACTATTGCCCATTCTTTTAAATCAACCGTCTTATACGATTTGTGTTGCATGTTCCATGCACCGTTTCTTGGCAATTCCTTCTCCGCTTGCCCATATTCAATCGTTGGCGGCTTTAACACTCTTCCTGTTAGTCGTGGCAAATCTTGACTAACTTTAAAACCAAAGTCCGCGAGGAATTCGTCTTTATCAAACTTAGCACTTCGAACTAAATTATTGATTAACTGTTGGCGTTCAGGTGCTGGTAGAGCTGTGTGTTTTATCATTGTTTGTAACTGTTCCTTCGTGAGTTTCCCTTGTTTGCGTTGACCTTCCATAATGTTGCAGAGTTCCATTGGAATACAAGCGCCATTGTTACCTAGCTTAAGGCAAGGAAGATCTGGATACAGAAGCGTAATGTTATGTCTCTCTTTAAAATACTCAAACACAGATACACTTTTACCATCACAATCGAATATTTTTTTCTTAGCTGATTCGGTTGATAAACCAGCAACTCTCTGTTTCCTCTTGACATGAATCGTCTCAATTTTGAGGTCGTTAATCTCATCATTGAAATCCTCTATTTGTTCGCTACTAAGATACCTTGGTGGCCTCTCCAACCCGAAGTACTCACACAAAAAATTCAGGACAGGCTGTGCTTTATAGATCACAGTGGAACAAGTATCCACATTCAACATCATCATCTTCCATTGCGTTGGTCGAATACTAAGGAATGTCCCATTCCAAACTTGTACGCCAAATCCGAGCTCTTTCTCACGCCCATCTGGATGATTATAAAAGGATGATCCTATCGGAATACTGTTCATGTTCGGCAGGTGTCGCAACACGACCTCTACAGCTTGCATTGCATCGTATGGTATCTCTGTCCGATTTCCTTTAAGTGCCTCGTTTAAGTCGTATAAACTGACTTTGCTAACCCACTTGATCTTAACGGTGTATTCCCGTTGCTTACCATTATCCGTGGAAAACAAAACCTGGTATTCACGACTGTTCTCAATACCAGGAATCGGTATTTTGCAGTATACATTTTCTCCGTTCTTGTCATATACCAGTTTTGGACCATGTGGATTAGCGTTTTGATACTGCTCAACCATGCATTTTATTATCTTGGGAGCTTCCCTCTTTGTATACCCTTTGCCAGACTCGTAGCCTTTCGCGATGATTTCGGTACGGTAATGATGAATATCTATTTCTGGCAAACTCACAGGAAGAAAGTTCACACGTAGCTTGATTCGTCGGCCTAGTGTACCACCTTTGTCTGGTCGACGAGGGGGCCTTGGTTCTGCTTTTTCTGACCGGGGTGGTCGAGTAGAAGTGGTTGTAGGAGGCTGAAAGCCTTTTACGGGTTTACTCCTGGGACCAGGATGCTGTCCGGAAGCTTTCGATTTGGTAGCAGCTTTTGAAGGTTGAGTTCGAAGATGAGGTCTCGATCTGATATTCAACGGTTCAAGCGTCTTCGTTAACTCACTTACTTCATATGATTCTAGAGGTGGTGTTTTCGGTTTATTAACTGCATCGAGTGAGGAGGCAGGGATATTGGATATGTCACTAGGCACCATTTGCTGATGAGAGACATGAATTTCTGGTTTAATACTTGAGAGTTGCGCAGATTTTGCATCACCTTCATCATATGGAGATACACGTCTCTGTTCTGATTTTAAAGTTGCGACTGCCTTCGATTGTGTTTGTGGTAAAGACGTGGATGCTTCATGTCTCTGGGGTGCTTGTTCCTGGAATAAAACACATCAAGAATTATGGTCCTGCATACACATTCCAAACAATTTATTGCGCTATGATATTTTAAACTTGCGCAGCGAAAATAATAGCTGGCGATAGCTTTAAGGTCAGATCAGTTGACGTTCCGCCATCTCTTGACTTCGAGAATTTAGAGACGTGACGTATACGAAAGGTAGGGTGTGTCAAAAGAGGTAACATAAATTTAATCGAACCCCAACACCTTATAAACTCGAGGATTGCGTTGTGGGCTAACAAAGTGAAGATATTCTTATGGCAGATAAGTAACGTCATTGATGAGAAGCACGATATGATTATTTATGTATATATGCCTCGCTTGAGCAGTTTTTTGATGTTCTCATATACTTGTGACAAATCGGCACTATTTCACTGACTCAGATTTTTTTTCTCACGATCACAGCACGCTACAGAGTCGTAGAACTAGTAGATATAGTATACAACGTACTTCAATGATCACAAATGGACATATGAAAACTAGTTTCATAATGTTCTAACACTAGAGATGAACAAAGAAAAATTCGTATCGAGCGAGATGCATGCTTGTTCGGATTTCCAGGGCACTTTCCATTTGAACAAACTCAGAGATCCAAAGGATAGTGCAAAGTTGATTTGACAAATGATAATTATGATTTGTTGATTCGCATAATGATTAATATATGAAATAGGTTGATGATCTATAAGGAAGTTGTATGGCGTTTGTTTTTATATATTACAAGCCACGACAGTAAATTTTGTTGTTTTCGCGTGGATAATTTTCCATGGCTTAATTCCTTGAATGGTGGCTTTAGTACAGATCTTTTTTCTTTGCTTTTAATAATTCAATTTTCTACCCATTTTCCGTTGTACATTTAATACAAAACAAAATAAACCGCCTTCGAAAATCGAAATGAAACAAAAATGAACAGCTTGCAAGAAATTGTTGTCACCTGACATTCGAGATCATTTCCAGATTTAGAAAGCCAATGAGAAAACAGGACGGGTTCAAGTCGACTGCGTGCTGGCCACGTGCTCCAGAAGTTGCTGCATGTCTAATGACTTTACAGTAAGTAATATGCAAACAGAACTATGGCCGACATCTAAATATTTCTCACTATTAAATATAATATTTTACAGTTTATCAATGAAATGCCATAACTGCATAAGTGAGAAATACCAATAGTTTGACAAAAGCTTGGAATGACTGATTATATAAAACGTCTCGGAAACAATACGAACTGACATTACTGACTACAGATTACACTGAGTACAGAAATTTCTGCTATTAAAAATAATATACTTCACCACAAACACTAGATCATTAATACAGACATTTATAGTTCACTGGGACACTGGCTCTCGCCGGCGTCGCCGCTACAATATAAATACGCTCGACCTCGGCATGTTGCCTCTGGAGCAAAATTTCAATTTTATTT